TCCGCCATCGTGGTGCCATCATTGTTGGAGAAACTTCCAGAGCAGCTTCGTCTGACCATCACGAGAGGCGAAGACCACCACGAGTGGAATTTAGAGTCACTCTCAGACATCTTGGGCCATGAGGTTGAACTTCGAGAAGAATACCACAGGAACCCGCGAAACACGAGAAACCCTCAAGAAGAGTTCAAGAGGAAAACATCAATGCACACTGGAAAGCAAATTAACTGTGACTTTTGTCTGTGAGGACACAACCATGAGGAATGCAAGAAAGTCAAGAATTTCCATGAGCGTAAGCAATCATTAGTTACATTTGGTAGACGTTTTAATTGTATTCGTAAGGGACATCTTTCTAGGGACTGTAAAACGAACGTAATTTGTAAGTTATTATTTTTTAAGGGAAAAGACCATTCGTGTCTTTGTAGTGCCGACTCCTTAAGGGAAGGGGAAAGTCAGAAAATTTGGGTAATCACAGTACTGGAGAGTCAGTTGGGAATAACACGCATGTTGAAACAGGTAAAAGCGTCGTTTTACAAACTGCACAAGCCCAAATAGCGGGGAAGGGAAATGCGCGAATTAGAGTGATTTTTGACACAGAAAGTCATACGTCTTTCGTTACGTCGCGCGTGGCTAAAGGTTTCAGTTTAGAAATTCTCCGAAAAGAGTGGCTCGCTGTCAACACCTTTGGCCAGCGGACGGCGGGTTCAAATCTCAGGGAGGTGATTGGATGTATTTGACCACAGTAGGGAGAGGAAACACAATTTACATCGAAGTCTTTGTAGTCCCTGAAATCTCGAGAGTACAGAACGAACTGCTGGAATTAATGCGTGAGAATTACCCTCACTTTGCGAACATATGACTCTCTGATGTTTGCCAACACAAAGAGCAGTTGGAGATAGATGTTCTTTCAAACAGACAATGTAACCCGTGAAGGTATGTGTGAGCCAGTAGCCATAGAAACACAGTTTCTGGTCCTTTAGAGTCTAGTGAGTCAACAGAGAGAGAGAGCGAGCAGTCATTGTAAATCTCGTAAGAAGAGACAGTATTATTTCGGGAAAATTAGAGGAGGATGTTCAGGTTCATTGGGAGTTAGAAACGTTTAACGGAAATCGGTATTCCGTTGAGCTGCCATAGAAGGCGGGGCGTGACATCTTAGATGGTAATTACGAGTTGAGTTTGTCGCGTATGAAAGCTCCGATCAAGAAGCTTAGAAATGATCCAGAAGCGTAAAGAGAGTACGACTAAGTTATCAAAGAACAGTTAGCTTCAGGAGTAATAGAAAGAATGCTAGAGTCTGGAAAGAAGGGTGGAGTTCATTACACCTCACATTTGGCGGTCATACGCAAAGAAGCCAGCACATGCAGACAGAATCAATACAATACGAGGCAACAATTTCTGGCTCTAGTATGAGCCCTCGAGATGAGCAGGAAAACATTGAAAATTTGTCTCCTAAAAAGGATTCCTTCAAACCAAAGGCGACCGTAAACCATTATCAGTTAATTCGTTGTCTGATAAAGAAGAATCTGATGGCCTACGTGTAACTCCTAAGAATGAGGAAAATTTCTCGTTTTCAGGAAAAATTTGCGTCGGCTTTTTAAGTGGTGCCCCGATGAATCTGTTACTCTTCTATGGCCGTAAGAGACTTGTCTCGTCCATCTACAGCCTTTTTTGGCGTCATAAGTATATCACAGATCCATACCAGCGTTGCACTTAAACCAACATAGGCATATACTTGACGAGTACGAAAGCAAGTTGGAAAGCGAAATCATAGAAAATAAAGGAGAGGAATCAGGCAGCTTTCCTACAATAAGACGTTCCGTCAAGGTATTGGCGGAAAATTAAAGCCTCGGCAAAATTTGACCCTTGAGTTTACCTCTCTGCCTTGAGAAGGGCGTAGAATGTTTAGCACACCACTGATTCTAGTTGCTAGAACTAGGAGGGCTAACAAATGAATCAGAAAAAACACAAGGGAATAAGAGCAAAGGAGGGTAAAGGAAAGCTAGATGGAGAACCTGAAGAAAATTATGCATTATAGCGACCGACAGAGTGAAGAGACCTCAATCATCACTTAGAAAAAGTAGATGAATATGGAAGAATTGAAGGTGAATCTGGTTGTTTTCTTAATAAAAGACTAATATGGCACTGCCATAAATTGTCATTTACAAATTCTTCCATCATTGTTTAAGTATAATTATATGACTGAGCTATTTAATTTTTAACCCCACGTCTTCAATTTTAAATTATGTTTAACTACTTTGCTACTCTTAAGAGTTAGTAAATGGATGCTGCAAACAAAAGCGTCTCAAAAAGAGAAAAAAGATGTTTTTCCTTTCATTCGTTTCGTAAAAAAATTTCTATACTCGCTAGGTTTTAATTCTTTCATCACAATCAAGGACATACAAAAGTCACAGCTGTTTTAATTTCCCTGCCTTTATCGTGACTTTTCCCTGACAATCGTACAATTTCTTCGACCAACTCAATTAACAAATTCACAAACGAGTCCTGATTATAACCTCCAACCTCCCTTCACAACCAACCCATAAATCAATGCTTTCAGCAAGGTTACATCAACCGATTAAGCCTTCAGTAACATGGAAAGAGGATTGATTCTCTTGGAAACCCAACGTCTGCTGGTCATTCAATTTCATGAGGCAGTATTCTACCAATGCAACACCTTTTAGTCTAAATTGTTACAGAACAATAATAAACAGAAGAAAAAGAGTATTCACAAACCAACTTGAACTTACATGACAAAAGGAAAGGACATGCTGGTCAAGAATCAGTCAACTGCACTTCACAATGTACACGAGTAACATCGACATCACAAAAAGGAAAGTGTCACCATCTTCCATCATGACGAAGGCTAACACGTGATAAACAACCTCAAATTAACTTGAAATTTCTATTCTCCCTGACTTCTTTTAAAGATGCAAATCTTCCCTTACTCCGAAGGAAATTCTCTAACTTTTCCGCAGCCTTGTATAAATTTATTTTTTCCTGATTTTCCCCTCACCGGCGGCAACCATAGAAACTGAAGTAAGCTTATCTCATGTGGCGATTTATATCTTCTTTTGTAAATCGGCTAATATCTAAGTATGATTTAGTAAAGTGATACTTTAGGTGGTTATATGGCGAGCTGATTTTGGCTCGCTTTTTGGCCATTTTGAGGGTGTATTTTAGAACCGTATTCTAACACAGGATATGTCATTTTATCCAATGACAAATAAAGACTTATTTTCATCTTTATTATTTTCATAATTAGTATTAATATTTTCATTATATATCCACTTCACCAAATTAGTAATTCTAATCAACATACCTAAGTGAGACATCCATCTCAGAAGGAGAAGTGTATGATCTTTGGTTTCATTTTTTAAGTAGCCATACTTTTGTGTAATAAGGATCATTAAAAAAAATCACAAGGAAATTGAGTGTAGTAATCTTTTTGTGAAAAGCAAGCTTATTTATCACACTTCAGCTGTTTATATTTCTACGGTACTTTATTATGAAAATTGAATAAAAATTGACCATCACATCTCTTGTGTTCAAGTACAAACCTGTAATCCAAGGATAAATTAAGACTTCAGAGGAGATACCAAGTGTTTGATGTCAGTGAAAAATTGTTGACAGAGCATCATTAACCCTTCCACCTTAATATGGGCATTAATTATGGCCAGGGGGGAGAGGGGGTGATTCTTGGTTTCAATTCCTTAAAATTACCCTTAGAGAAATCCTTGTTGACTGCATGTCAATGAAAAGTATGCAGTAAGTCGTCATTATCAGCATCATCTATTAGCCACTTCAGCAGTATTTGTTATGCAAATGCAACAGTATGCTAAGACGGGAGGACCTCCAAAATAGACCACCAGACTTAAAGAGAATTTCATATTCCCATATACAAGGGCAGGACACCACTGACACTGCCCGCAATAAATATTTACAAGAGCACAAGAGGAAGGGATGAAAGACAAAAGCCATTCAAACCAGTTAGTAGTTAACTGTCACTTCAACACCCATTTCCATTTAGCAAGGAAAAAAAACAACAAAAAACACTATGTCAGATCTTCCAAAACTTCATTACAACCTCAAATATAATTTAATTGTTAAAGTGATGGTTCAAAAGTTTTGGTAAAGGACCCTTTACATTAAGAGAAAAGCATATTATGATCTTTGAACCACCAAGTACTTTTTTACATTATGTTTGCAGGTATTACTTTGTTTAAGGATAAAATTGACCAATATCAAAACATAAGGTTTTATTAAACATTTACAGTTCAACACATGGTGTCTGTTAGACTCCGTTGGGGTAAAATAATGTTGTTTACTTTGTTACTTACAATTTTTTTTTAAGCTTTAACTTGTCTATTCTAAGGTATTTTCACACACACATTTCCATGTATGTATTCATATGATATGATCAATCAATAGTACAAGAGACATTTCATCACAAGTTGCCTCTTTTAGCAAATGTTTGTTAAAATAATGCGTGTGAAGTAATTTAAAGAGCATATTTCAAAAACCATGACTTGCATGTTTTTGGATAAAAACTTGAGACTGAGACCTCAAAGAGAATTAAAACATCAAACTTAACAACTTTGAATCAACTGAACCAAACCCAAAATCAATCATGCTACAAGAGAATTTGAAAGTGTCGTATCTTCAGCCAGGATTTCAGTTTTGGAATTGATTGGCGTGTAAGTGGCCATCTTATAACCGTACTAAAGAGAGACTTTTAACCATTTTCCTAGCTTTGGAGCTACCCACCTTGCGCGAGAGAAACGTAAGGAAGATATGTGAATTTTTGAATTTGAAGTACTACTGTTCAACGTAGAGTCACTGCGAACATTGAAAAGTTTATCCAAATTGGACGCCGCGGTTCGATTTACCTTCGACAAGCTTGATGTGATAAAGAACGAATTGCCACGATAGATGATAATTGGTGTGAATGGACTTTTGTGGAATTCTTAGAAGCGCTGTAGAAATGGACAATTAATAATCCCATTTCCAACGAACCGATATCAAAGAGCTCAAATTTCCGTCGAGATCAGTCCAGAGCATTTCTTGCCAAACATCATGAAACTGGAAACCAGTCGAGGGCGAGCCCGGGGGCGTGTCTTTATTGTTGTAGCGAACAACATAAGGCAATGAACTGTGATAATGTCCAAAGCGTCGAAGAAACGAAGAAAATACATGCCGATAAGAGCTTGTGCTTCAATTGCACCAGTGCCAAACACCGAGCCAGCGATTGTCAGAGCAGAAATACTCGAAGAATTTGCAATGGGAAGCACCACACTTCGATATGTTACAAGAAGGAAAGACGAGAACCAGGTACAACTGCAAATTTAATAGGAGATTCCAGTGTTATTCATCCGGTCCTGGTTATAACCGTGGGCGGATATAAATTTAGATCCCTGTTGGACAGTGGCGCCAGCCATTCCTATACTTCGTCGACAGCGATCAATTTAATTAAAGCTAAAGCAAAGAGTACGAGTTTGCGCAAAATCGCCATGCTTACAGGCGTTGAAACCAGATCCGTGCAAGTCTTTGAAGTTGTCATGCGTTCTGTGACTGGAGATTTTACACTTAACGTAAATGTCACGAAAATCGAAAATGGGGAACTTTTGACCTTAGATAACCCAAGGTATTCCGATCTCTTAAACAATCACCCTTACCTAAGAGGTGTTGCAATGGAGATTAGTGATACAAAAGCTCATTTACCTGCGCACTTGATAATCGGCGCCAATGACTTTGCCAAGATACGGACCAGTGATCGTTTGCGGGTCGGACGTGGAGGAGAAACACAACACCAAACCTAACAGCTTGTCCGTAGGAGATGTTGTTATCATTAAGTCTGATGAGCGAAACCGAGTGGCCCATGGGGGTAGTAGAGGAATTGTTCACTGGAAGAGATGGCGTTGTTAGGGCAGCGAAATTAAGAGCAGCGAAAGTAAGAGCAGGCAGAGGATTCATGGAACGCCCAATCCAACATCTTTACCCACTAGAATTGTCGTGCGATCGAAACCTTACACTTTGCAATGACACACCTTTGAACCCAACCGCAATGGAGTTCCGGTCGCGACGAGATGCTGCTGTGGCAGCACGTCAGCGAATAGAGGACATTGTAGAGCAAGACACTTGAATGTTGTTAGCAAAGAAACACTATTTTCATACTTATTTCTTGTTCTGTTATAGAGTCAGTTTCATTTGCATATGTCTTGTTCCCAAGTCATATGGGGAGAGTGTTGGAAACTGTACGATACGTTAATTATTCCTAATTTGATTGACATTTATAAGTGATTTCGTCTATCTATCCATAACCAAACAAACATGTATGCGGCACATGTTTCATCGCCCCATTTATGGCACTGATCCACGTGTGTGTTTCTTTCGAATAAGCCGAAAGTTTGAGTGGGAGTTAACCGAACCGTTGTAGTAAAAGCGTTAAATCAAGTGAATAAACCGTGAGTAAATAAGGAAGCATAGAACAGCTTTTTCACGTTTTCGACACAATCCCTAAAATCAGTGCACAAACGCAAGGATCTGGTTTCTGGTAACTCGTTCATTACAGTTTCATCCCTCATCGATGCTGAACTTTCTCAATATGATCGATGCCAAACTCAGCTTCCAGAGTTATTAGAATCATGCTGGCCGTTACAAAGTTTACTAATTGCGTTAAAAAATTTCTTATTGCGTTACAATTTTACTTGTATTACCTAAGCGTTGATTAGGAGATAATCAAACCATGGAATCTTGAACGATGCAAAACAGGTTAAAGTAATTGTGAGTACGGGAGAAAAAAAAGAAACAGAGATCAAAGATTATAAACTTTTATTATTGTAAGAGTCTTTGCTATCTTACTGCAGGAAATTCGAAACACAACATTCAAACCCCGAAAGCGCGGAGAGGGGTTGAACTTGGAGAAAAAAAAAACAATGGGCATGTTGAATTATTTTGAGACCACTTTTAATCACAAGCAACGTCGTCGAAGGGAAAGTCTCTGCAAGGAGAAGGGATAATTTCCGAAATGAATTTATATTTCTGAAATCAAACCGTTCGATTTGCGGAAAATATAAAAGACAATCTCGCGGACTGCTATTGTCCAACGCTATTTTTAGTCACGGGCATCGTCGACGTAGTGACGAATGGACAACGCTTTCGTGTGTTTATACAAATACCCATTGCAGCGAGAACCGACGGAGCAAGTTGTGCAGGAATACCGCACGACTTGCATTGACGGTTCCTTTGCAACGTAGAGAGAAAAAATGATGAATGTTAACCTGTTAGCCGTTCATGAGCTTATTAGGGGAATATTAAGCGTAACACTCGTGTTGTGTTTAAATCACGATCTGGTGACGCCCTCCTGGGAGTGTGTTGACATGTGACATAAAACCGTGAAATGTAAAGAGGTTTCTAAAAAAAGTGTTTGGCAGATGAAAATAAAATTTTCTACGCATCTGAGTCTGAAATATTAAACAAGTGGAATAAAATTTTTGTGCAAGTAATAAGGCTATCGTGAAGAACTACTTATCGATCGAAATTTTGAATCAAAAGCGAGAAGTCGGTTTTGTTATCCATTATCTCAGGGATATGCAAGACTTTTGAACGACGGTGAAATTTAATATTCGGATCAAAATGCCAACACAAATTACTTTGCGCACTATAAAAAGAAACTGTATCCTTTGTAGTCAGTTCTTTCATATCATTTTCATTCTCTTCAATCTTCAAGAAAATTTCTTTGTATTGACTGGAAATCAACAAACTCAACGTTGACTTAATGTTCTCGAGACAGTTCGTGCTTGATTGTAATATTGGTAGTATATTGCTATTGATATTCCATTATTACACAATTTACCACAAGGAACGCTCAAAATTTGCGATTGTTTTACACTGTAGAACAGGGCAAATATATCGATGGAAAAGGGAACAACAAAATGAATACCCGAACCGTCAAGACTATGATTTTTTTTCTCCGTTTTGTAGGCTTGACTTTTTATGCAACGAACTTTTTAACGCCATAGACATGTTATTGGTGGTCAAAGACTGAACGGTTGGATGGTTTCGTTTGAGTTGTTGCTAGTGTCTTCGTCTTTCATGATCGATGAGATTCTCAAATGTAGGTTGTATTTAAAAAATTAGACGCCACACTAATAAAATAACGAATAAAAGGGGAAAAATAAATCCTAATTCGATGGTTTGACATATAAAACGAGCGAACGTTATGATCTTTGACCGTATTGTTCCACGCCTCCTGAAGAGCTTGGAAAAATACTGCGCCACTTGCACAATATAGCAAAAAGAACCTTGAATTTGTTAGAGGTGGAGCTAATAAATTCTCACCTCGATTTATCCTGACGGCTTCTTTCCGTGATCGCGATCTGGACAGGGGAGATGAAAGAGATGTGGAGCCAACTTTTCTGCATGGGTTTGTGTTATTATTGTATCAGTACTCGAACTAGTCTCGTTGGCAGTCGTTCACGATTCGTTGTGAGACTTTCCTCTCGCAAACTTCCTGCTATTTTGCTGAATTTTGTCAGACCATGCAATAACCCAGCCTAACACTACAACGACATCAATACCCGCATAGATATGATACCAGTGGGCAGCTTGCACGTGAGAGGAAGGTTACCAGCCCACAAGGTGCCCAAGCTCTCTATCAGAGGGTAATATTATATAGCCTTGAACGGGAGTTAAGGATCTGCTCTGTAACTCAGCTCTAACCTTCAGATAGTGTTGTTTGTGTTAGTTTTGTTCTTTGGTAACGATTTCAAGCCATTTCGTCGAGTTTTAGCTGAGATTTCATCCCACCACTGCCTGTACGACAGGCGCTCAAACGTCACGTCTCGAGAAGAAGCCAACGATTAATTCAAGTAAAGCGTCACGCTTTGTGTTAAGTTACTAGAGGAACCGTCGAAAATTTGAACACGTTATAAAGAGTAGTATAGGGTGTAAGATTCAAACGTGCATGACCTTTACCCTGCTGCGTTATACTTGATGTAAAATTTAACTCGCTAATCATCACGTGTTTCGTTTTACAAGATTTCTTAGTTCTCGTTTTCAGTATACTGTTTCAACGTTTGCTTTAATAACATTGAGTTTCTGGTCAAATCATCTGTGATTTAAATCTACGCGTTCACACCAATAGGAGGAAACAGCTGTAAGTTTTTAGTCTTTTTCCTTTGATCCTGTTCGTCAATTTTTCTTAGAAGTGAACCATTGTATTTATTATTATAACTTTGCCTTTTAGTTGAACCATCATCAACATAATCGTCTTAAACCGCCACGTGTTTCGGTCAGATGCGTTTTGATTACCTCTGGGTCAGTGTGAACATTCAATAAATTCGCCCCTTCAAATCATCTCTTAGTTGGAGTTTACATAGAGAACGAAATATGGTCGAATAACAACGATAAATGTTTCGAGATATGAACATTTCACACGTAAAATCAGTAAACCTTACTCACATCCTCCGCGTCTGTTGGCGATTTCTGCAGTTTTAAGCTTCCTTTACCATCACTGTTGTTTACAAAACTCATACATAAAAGCAGCTTGCGAAGATAATTCATCGATGAATTTCCCTGGCTCGCCTTTTCATGTCTTCAAATTCTTTCAAGCCGCGATATAAACTTCCATTTTGGAATCCAGACAGTGTTGTGTTATGCAACAAATTCCCGCTCTCTCCATAAGGTCCCTTGATAAAACATGAACATGCCCTGGTTTCATCTCCTCTCTACTTCCTTTCTTTCTATAACCGGATAACCTTGCCTATGGGGTTTCCGCCCCCCTCGTAATCTATTCATGGATTTCATACGTTTATATTTAGTAGAGAGAAATAACGAGCGCAGTCACCAATTCAACCCGTACACACCAGTCATTAACCAATTAACAAATAATTTCGTTTTGTGATTTTGTTTCGATAACTTGGTCTCAGAACGCGGAGCCAAAGAAAAGACGGAACACTTAAAAGTTCTTCCTTCCTTTTCCTAAAACATTGTTTACACTGTATTTGGTTGTTACTGAAGAAAAATGTTTAAACACTGTGTTTAGACTAACCTTGATTTTATGCGACACCAGTATGGATCACCATCAAACAGACTTTTCTACCCTCCAAAGTGGATTAAGTGTGATGTTGCGCTCAGAAAAAGAGGGGGGGGGGGGAAGGGGGGTCTGGAAGGAACCTGGCTGACCTTTCTCTTAATCAAGATGAGCCATCTTGATTTTATCAACCTTTTCAACCCTAAGAGTGACTAACATATAATTTCTCCTCAAAATATCACCCCTGAATCACACATTAAGAGTTTACTCATGAAATGGTTATGCATTAAATTCCCAACTGAACGGGTCGGTTGAATGGCAAGCACCCTAAATTAATCTGTTGTGGAATTAGGTTTGGAACTCCTCTTTTCTTACATAACTTTCATCCATAGTTCCAGTTGGCTGAACATCATAGTCTTCCTTGAGGCTTAAATTTTCGTTGTCCCGTAACAAAATAAAAACAGATTTTTCCAGCCTTCTTGGTGTCACTGATGAGACAATGTTATCATTTGTGGTCTCGCTTGTGCGTTTATTTCGTGATTACAATGGGTATCATCTTTAAACGAAACGACTTTGTTAAATTAATTTATCAGTACCGACGGGAAAAAGGTGTTCAAAATGTCAGTCATAAACAGCAAGAAATACCACCAAAATGGTCCAAGAGGGGATTATATATCAGGTTCAGCCAGCAAACAAGCCTTTTTTTTTAGCGTTGCGGGACCTACTCTGCTTACTTCCTGTCGCAAATATATTTCTTAAGCTCGCGAAAAGTTCAGTTTTACAGTTTTATTTTTGTTATGTAATAACGATAAAATAACTCTGCCACCCATGATTTTATCACCGAGAAGTGTGTTACCTCGCAGGAATCGTTCGCTTTTGCTCGGGACAGTAGCACAGTGGTGTCAGATTGATTCTCATGCAAAGGAGGGGGAGGTGTCCCATTTTCATCTAACGGATAAACCCTGTTCTGCACA